CCCTCCCTCCCTCCCTGAAAAAACAATGGAAAAAATATCCTCCAGTGAGGATTAAAAAAACACATTTTTTAAAAATTATGTGGTACTAAGTAAAATAAGGGTGACTTGAACACAAACATTGCAATACTGTGACAGTGGAATCTGATAATCTAGGTGGCTAGATTATGGAGATGCTAAACAAAGGGATGAGTCACGCTCAGAAGCTGAACCGGGCAGTGAGATTTCATCATGTTACTCAGAATGATACACAACTTAAAATTGATGCATTATTTCTGGAATTTTCCATTTAATATTTTTGGATCATGGTGTAGGTAACTGAAACCTCAGATAAGGGGAGGGGCTACCGTACTACCAAACTAGAATTCTATGCCCTTAAAAAAGTAAAGACAATAGAGATATGCAGTGGGAAAAAAAAAGCAAGATAGTAGACAAACTCAACTATAACAGTAATCACATTAAGTGTAAATAAACTTACTCCAATTAAAAGATAAAGATTCTCAGATGACACAAAGTCAAAACCAAAATGTTTCTAATGATAAGCCCCACTATAGTTATAAAGATACAGAAAGACTGAAGATAAAAGATGATGAAAGTTACAAATACTAATCAAAGGAAAGTTGGTGTGCCTGTATCTAGCAGATAAAGCTGATTTTAGGGTAGTGAGTTCTAGTAACAGTTAAGAACATATCACAATAATAAAAGTCAATTCAACAAGATATAACAGTCCTAAATATTTATTATTTTGCACCACAGCATAGGTCCAAAATACTTAAATCGAGCTAACAGCCCTGGCTCAGTGGTTAGAACATCAGCCAGAGCACCAAAGGGTTGCAGATTCATTCCCCACCTCCTGTCCCCCCCTTGTTTGGGGTGTGTTCAGGAGGCAATCGATGGATGTGTCTTTCTCACATTGATGTTTCTCTTTCTCTCTCCTCCTTTCTTCCTTCCACTCTCTCTAAAAATCAATGGAAAAAATATCCTCAGGTAAGATCAACAAAAACAAACCCCCCCCCAAAAAAACTGTGCTATCAATTGAAACAAACAAAAAAAAAGAGTAAGTCATGGGGATTTAATGTACAGCGTGGTGACCAAAGTTAGTAATACTGTGTTGTGTACTGACAGCTGCTACGCAGGTAGATCTTGTGTTATCACCACACACATGTAGATTAACTGTGAGGTGATGGATGTGTGAATTACCTTGGCTGTGATCATTTCACAATGTAGATGGATATTAGATCATTTCATATACCCTAAATTTAAAAAATCATATGTAATTGCAAATATATTTGAGTTGTGGATGCTAAGAAATCTATAGGGATTGAATTCCAGGCAGAAAGGAGCCCCTCCCAGGTGAACAAAGGCTGGCAACCATCCCAGCAGCACCAAGCTGGGCTTGCTGGGAGCAGGGAATTCTCTGGGAGAGTAGCCACTTAAGAGGCTGACACTGGTGTGGGCCAGCAGAATGGACCAGAACCTGAAGTTTGAAAAGCATGAGAGATTTTCCCCCCATGGGACTCCACATGGTGCTTGGGTGGTGAGGTAGGAATGGGAGTGAAAGACGGAGGGAAATCTGCAGCCTTTCCACGCATAGAAACCAGAGTCCTGCTAGAATGGGGGGCTGGCAAGAAAAACAAGACAGGTCAAGACATAAACTTCAAGACATCTGAACTAGGGGTGAATGAAGCTAACTCAAGTGGAAACCCAGCCAACTCCTGATTAGAGACCAGCCTCCTCACCCAAGCTGCCTGGTAAAGGATGGCATACAAGCATTCTGGAAGAAAATATGCCTGGCTTACCATTCTTTTATACACGTCTGGAATGTAATAAAAATTATGAGATATTGAAGGAAGAAACATTACCCATAAACAAGAGAAGGAAATCTCCAACAGAAATGGACACACAGAAGAACTGGCTGTTAAAATTGGATGGCAAGGACAATAAAGTTACTGCTATAAATCTGTTAGAAGAAAATGGGGCAGAGGGGTGAAGAGATGGATTTCAACCAAGAAATAGAAACTACAAAGAGAGAAATGGAAACCAAAACTAAAATATCTTAAAAGAATTTCTGGACAGATTAAGAGCAGACAAAAAACACAAAAGAGGAATAGTACAGATGTTCCTTGACTTAATATGATGGGGCTACATCCCAATAAACCCATCATAAGTTGAAAATATCCGTAAGTCGAAAATGTATTCAATATACCTAACCTACCAAACATCACAGCTTAGCCTGGCCCACTGTAAACATGCTCAGAACACATACATTAACCTGCATTTGCTGCCCTGCTCAGTATCACAGGAGAGGATCATACCGCATATCATTGACCCAGGTAAAGATCAAAGTTCAAAGTTCCGAATGAGTATTGCTTTTGCACCACCGTAAAATTGAAAAATTGTTACGCTGAACCATTAAGTTGGTGACTCTCTGTACGTCCAAAGAAAGTAAAAATCCAAAAGAAAAAAAAGAACAAAACAGAGTTATCAAAGACCTGTGGGATCACGTAGGATAGTCCTACATATAGGTAACTGAAGTATTGGGGGGGGGGGAGCATAAATGGGCAAAAATATACATATATTAGAAGAGATAAAGGCAGGAAAATTTCCAAAACTGATGAACGATATTAACCCAAAGATCTAAGAAGCTCACCAATGTCCAGCAGGATATATACAGAGAAAACCACGTATCATCGTCAAATAACAAACATAAAGAACAAATTCTTAAAAGCAGCCAGACAAAAGGGTACCTTACTTTAAAGGGAACAATGCTGACAACTCAGTTCTCATCAGGAATGTCTTTAAAATCCAGTCACCTTGCTTCATGTGTGTTTTGAAAAGTCTGATGACAAATTCTCTTGCCTTGGTAAACTGTATTGTCTTCTTGCCTGCAGGTCCCGAGGATTATCATCTTTAAAACAGAATCATTTTACTAGGCTATGTCACGTACATGATGGTTCTCTAACATCCCCAGGTGGACCCTCACAGCGGAGATTTAGATTTTCTCTACCTATATGGAATGTTTCCTTGAAAAAGTTTTAAACATTAGTTCTAATTTTCTTCAAAGACTAGATGACATACCCTGCTTTCTCTGCTTGCCATTGCCGCCACCTTCCTGATGCCTCACCCTTCATGGTCAGTCTCTCTTCATGCTCTTATTCTCCTGTTTCCAAAGCCCTTCCTCAAACCTGAGTCTTGGCACCTTGCGCTTTATTGTTTCTAAAATAATTTCTTACATTTCCTTCCTGAGTTCAAGCCACTGTTTTGTTATTTCTTGCCCATTTCTGTCCTTAGTTTAAGAATTTCTGATCCAAGATGTTTTTCACACCTTCAAGTGCAATTATTGGGGGCAGGTCTGGCCATCCTCCTGGGCTTTGCGGATTTTATCTTAGGAGGCGGGAGGACCATATTCTGGATCCCCCATGAATTCCCCCTTTGCCTCTGGCCACCTGGCTGGCCAGCCCTACTGTCTGTGTCCCCCACACCACCCGGCAGAGGGGCAGGAGTGGGCAGGAAGCCAAGATCCCACAGGGGACGTGTGAACAGGGTGTTGGGCACACTTGGTCTACTTTCTGGTGTTTTGTGTTGTTTGGGGAGAAAATGCTGGAAGGGTCAGTTAGGATGCTGCTATTGTCTTCAAAGACCTGGAAATCCCATTAAACTTTTTTCAAGAATGTTGACTTTTGTCATTGCCTTGTTGGCTACTATCTGAGTCTACTTAGGTGGCCATAAATAGCATGGGCTGGGCAGCTCAATCCACAGACATTTCTCATAATGGAAGAGGCTGCAAGTCTGAGATCAAGGTGCCAGGAAGAGGTGAGGGCCCTCTCCCTGGCTGCCTTCTCGCTGTTTCCTCCTTTGGTGGAGAGAGCGAGCCCTGGTCTTTTCCTCTCCTGAACAAGGACACCAATCCTACCGTGGGGGTCCCACCCTTTGATCTCATCTAACCCTGATCACCTCCCAACACCACCCCTGGGGGAGTTGGGTGTCAACTTATGCATGTGGGAAGACACATTCAGTCCACAGCCACCAAGGAGACCAGCTGTCCTGTCTACACTCAACAGCGACTTTCCACTGAGTGCTGTTAGGTGCACTCAAGACTCAACATCCTGATATAACAGGTACCTTGTTTCTCCTGGAAAGCAAGCCATTTCAGTGCTTTATCCTACATGTCTATTATTGGCAAGGTCATGTGCTGTTCTACACTTCGAGTATTTGTGATCTCTCCCATTCCTGTCATTCAGTAATAGTGTTTTCACCTACTCCCCAAGAACACCACCAAACCCAGCTCTTACACTCACTTTAGTTCTGTTACATTGTTTCTGACCATCCATTCCTCCCTGGCTACCCAACCCCCCCATTTGTCACCATCTCCTAGCCTGTCCCTGGGGGCATCTGAGCTGCTGCCTGTCTCAGCCAAGCCTCTCAGAAAGACTGGACACTATACTCAGAACTGGTTTCATTTTCCTTTATTTTTTTAAAAAAGCCCCTAAGTTCTATGGCTTCCAGGAAGCATCAGAGAAACGGAAGTGCCATTTCTGTACACTTTGTAAAGCAACACCTAGACGCACACACCGCCGCCAATGCCCCAGCGGCTCCGCCCGCCTGTGGCTGCCTGGCCTCTGCCGCACCTGTGGGCTGAGACGGGGCTTTAAGGCGCTTGTCTCCTGCGGCTCAGCGGCACTGAGGGCAGACACAAGAAGCCCCCACACCGGGCACAGTCCTGGCCCAAGTGGCCACATAAGTGGCCGCCCCAGGCTTCAGGAGCAGGTGTAGCAGGAACACCTGCGGACCACACCGTCCAAGCTTTGGTGCAGCACTTTGGTTGGGGTGCTGCTCCCACCCTGCCTTCCCCTTTGGTTTGGGAAGGCCCAGGGCGGGCTCACCCCTGGCAGCAATGCCCCACAGTGCCCCCTCGAGAAAACGGCCTTTGGATAGAGGGAGACGAGCTAGATTTTATGACACTAATGGGGCGGGCGGGCAGGACGGCGCAGTGGCCAGGGCCTCCAAGTCACACTACTCACTTCAGCAGACATGGCAGGAGGGGTGCAGGGCAGGTGGCCGCCGTGTTTTCTTTTCCTTGTTTTAAATAGTTAATGCTCTTGGAAGGGAGGACTAGACACAGGTGTAGAAATTTCGGCCAAAGTCTTATGTGAAGAAAGTAACCCATGTGGGGGCGAGCAGCTCCGGGCCACAGTCTATGTCTTGGCTGTGGGCCACCTGGACAAGCTCCCCCAGGAACTGCAGTGGGAGGGTGTGCGGAACCACCTCCAGGGTCACTTGTGTCTCTGTAGCGATTTCCTCTTTCTCCTCTTGAAGAAACAGCAGCACCTGGAGGGGAGTGAGGGTGTGGGAAAGTGGGCACAGTGGGGAGGGGCAAGTTGGGCATGGAGTGAGATGGGGGTACCAGCTGGGCCCAAAGCATCTCCGCCCCCAGACGCTGCCCCAGGACTTACTTGGTGTCATCCGCCACCTCTACCTCTGCAGGTGCTGTGATGGGGGCGTTGGAGTAACCGGCAGTGGGGTCGTCAGCATTCAGCTCTCCATTGGTGGAGTTCAGTGCCTGGGTGGGTGGCCAGCAAGGGAGTCACGTGGGCCATGATCTCCACCCCCCAGTGTCATTGGGGTCCTTGGCCTAGCACCTCACCTGGTTTTTGCTGTATAGCTGGCCTTTGTCCCTAGGCTGAGTTTGCGCAGGCAGGTCGGTGTGGACTGTGCCGATGGGCGTTGGCTGCGAAGGGAGGCAGGACACAGTGCTAAGGCCGGGCACCACGCCACCCCCACGAACCAGGGTCCTATCTGAATCTGCACCAAGGCTCGGGATACTTGGGTCCTCCTCCATGTCCAGGTACAACCCCAAATTCCAGGGTCTCACCCCCCCCACATCCAGGATCCCACCTCCCCAACGCCCAGGGACTCCCCACATCCAAGGTAAAGCCCTCCATGTCCAGAATCTTTCACAACACCCCAGGGTAAAGCCCCCCATGTCCAGGGCCCCACCCCACACCCAGGCCCTGCCCCCACATACCAGGGGCTTCCCCGCCCAGTCGTACTCATAGTCGAACACGAAGCCGCTGCGGTCGAAGAGGTCTGTGAAGAGCTTGCGCAGGTAATCGTAGTCGGGCTTCTCAAAGAAGTCCAGGCGCCGCACGTAGCGCAGGTATGTGGCCATCTCCTCTGAGAAGAGCCGGCAGGGCTGGGGGTGGATGTGTGTGGGGGGGTGGGGGAGCAGGAGCAGGGACAGCAAGGGCTGGGAGCATTTTCTAGGGGAAGCCCTCACCTGGGTGGCTCTCGCAGAGCACCTCAATGGGCGTGGCCCGCTTGGTGTCCCCAATTTTCTGGTAGCGCTCCTTGAGCGTGTCCGCCTACAGGGAGAGTGGTCAGCAATATCACGGGCAGCCATGAACCACCACCCACCCCCTTGCACCCTGGCTCACCTTGAGGCCCTGCCAGGGCAGGCTGCCGCGTAGAAAGTACATGAACATGTGGCCCAGCGCCTCCAGATCATCACGGCGGCTCTGCTCTGCGGGGGAACAACAGGTCAGTGTGCTCCCCCTACTCCCTCCAACCCCTGCCTGTCTGCTGCTTACCTTTGCCCAGGTGCGTGTTGATGCTCATGTAGCGCGCTGTGCCCGTCAGGCTTTTGTGCTCACGGTAGGGGATGTGCTTCTTGGTCTCGGGGTCGATGTACTCCTTGGCCAGGCCAAAGTCGATGATGTGTATGGCGTGCTGCCGCTTGCTGCCCGGCCGCCCCACTAGGAAATTCTCAGGCTTCACATCACGATAGATGAGGCTCTTGGTGTGCACATACTCCATGCGGGTGATCTGAGGGTGGTGGGCAAGTGTCCCATCCGCCTACGTCCTGCATGGCCCCTCCCCCAGCTCCCTTCCCCAGGCTCTGCCCCACTCCTCTCCCTGCCACATCCCGCCCTGCAGCCAGGGGTACCACAGCCCGCACCAGCTGGATGGCGATCATGAGCACAGTCTTGAGCGTGAATGTGCGGTCGCACAGATCGAATAGGTCCTCCAGGCTGGGCCCGAGCAGCTCCAGCACCATGGCGTTGTACTTCCCGCACGGGCCAAAGTAGTAGACCTGAGGGACACCCTCTGCGGGTGGAGCATGCACAGATGCCAAGGGGGCCTGAAGCAGGCCCCCATTGCCCCCCACTGATCCCGGCACCCGACCCACACTGCCCCCCTGTACCCAGCTGGGTACCTGCAGTGCTGAGCTGCTTGTAGAAGCGGTACTCCAGGTGCAGCTGCGGTGCCCGGGACTTGATGGGCTCCTGAAGGAACAAGGAGGATGAGGTAGAGGGTTACCTGGGGTGCAGCACTGCCCCAGACCCCACCTGGATGGGCTCCACATGGAGATAGTTTCTGCTGTTGTGGGGAAGAACCTGGACTCACCAATTTGATAGCTACATATTCATTTGTATAGAGATTCTTTCCTGTGGAGGAGAGAGAAGTCAGCACAGCAGGGCGACCCAGCCTCCATTCCTCCCCCCATCCCAGCAGGCAGGAGGCCCTGCATGACCTACCACTTCCGAGGGGCACCTCCTGTTCCCTGGCAGCCCCCCTTGAACTTGGCCTTGTCCTCCCAGGTCCTGGGAGTAAAAAGGATGCCCACAAGATACCCGCAATCCTTTAGGTGTCCCCATCTTCCCTGTGCCCTCACATCTTGGGCTCCCACCCTATCTTACTACTGCCCTCTGCTCCACAGCCCCCACCCACCACCCTCTATGTACTCCAGGTCCTAGCCCCCCACCAACCCCACCCAGGCACTCCCCCCTCTAACCCCGTTTCAACCCATTCAAGAAGCTATAAGCACACCAATGTGCTCCAGCTCTCCCATTGAAAAATAGAACAAAGATCCCATGGCCCCTCCCAGCACCCACTGCAGCAAAGGGATCCAAAGACATCCATACCCCCTAAGCATCTCCCCCTCCCCCATCACTCCATCCCCAGAAGCGCCATGGGTGCAGTCTGCTCAATGCTTCCGCATGGGACCTGCAGGCAGGAGGTGGCAAATAGCCTGGACCAGCCCACGTGCCCCTCTGGTGTCCATCCAGCGGGTCCCCTCCCACCAGTAGAACTCACTCTGCCTCCCCTCCCTGCCCCCTGACGATGATTCATTCCAACACCTTTCTTCCCCACACCACCCATGACTGTGGAGTAAGGACCTGGCCAGAACCCCACCATTACCCCAGAAGGTTTGTCATGACATGCAAAGGAATCACCCCAGGTGCCCTGTATCCTCCTCCTGCACCCCTACCCTGGTGCTGGGATATCCCCCTTCTATGGTGGCTATGTCAAGTGAGACCCTGCCCACGGTGCAGGCCGGCAGAAGAGCCAAGGTTGGCTTCCCCAGGCAACAGAGCCCAGCAGGCCAGGGTAGGGGACCTGTACCCCTCTCTGGTTAGAAAGACCAACAAGAATAGGCCTTGCTGAACCCACCCACCAGGAACTCCAGGTGCCCACTGAGGAAGAGCTACCGTGCCCACCCTCACGAAACTGCACAAATACTAGTTCCAGAACCTGATGAAATCCAGTTTTTCACCTGTTATGGTCTCTAAAGCTAGCAGAGCCCCAGAAGGTCCAGCCACTACTGCTGGGTGACCTGTCACATAAACAAGAGGCTGCCCCAATCCAGCCCCTCGTGTGCATTTGAGTTACTGTGCACAGTGCTGTGTACACCCATACCATCATCTCTGGTCCAGTGGCCCTCCCAATGCCGTCTTGTTTTGCCTTTGTCCTGGGACGACCATCACCAGGGTTCTGAACACTGAGAATATGGCCCCACACTGTGTCCGCACCTCTAGGCCTCACCTTACTCTGCCTGATGCAGCTGGATAGTCAGGGTACGTCTGCACTTTAGCTATTCCTGCCTCACCCATGTGGCAGCAGATACCACTGTGTTCCACCTCAGAGGTTGATGCCAGGGTTCCCCACAGCATTAGTTGGCTCCACTGGTCACAGTCACTGCCCCATCCTGGTGTGCGCCGAAGTGTCCACACCACTGTGGCACCCGGCCGTGGTTATGTCTTCTGCTCTGCTGTAACTATTCAAGGGCCTTGGTTTCCATAGCGGTTCAATCAGCTTATTGACTTTCTCAGAGCCCTGCAGGGTATCCTAGAGTCTGCAGAACTGAAGGAGTTCTCCCAGCCATGCTTTCTTGCTCTCAGAGAGCTTGTCTAGTCTTTGTTAGATTTATTCCAGAAACACTTGATGAGTTTTGGCACACTTACAATTAGCACTGTTTTTATATCTTTATTGTCCAATTGTTGCTCAAGTAGAGACCAACAGGCCTGCTAAACTCATTCCCCTCTATTTGCTTACTAAGATTACTCTGGCTGCCCATCGGCATGATTGGGACTGGTAACAGCTGCATACCTTCTTTCTCAATTTCTTTACGCTTTATTTCCATTCCTCACCATTGTCCAAAGGGATGAGAGGAGATGCCCAGTTGTTGTAACACAGACACCCATTAGCAAAGAAAGAAAGCCTCCTTCTAGTCCTGGTTCTCAGGTTTTGATAAAAATAGGTGTCCCTCCTGTGATTTTCCCCCACCATTTTATTATGGAAGTTTCAAACACAGAAAAACAGAAGGAACTGTGCAGTGAACAGGTACATCCTCACTGCCTAGATTACACAATGAACAATTTGCTATCTGTTCTGTTGCATATCAGTCACGAATCTCTCTGATTTATAGATGCACTTCCAAGTTGCAGGCATCAGTACCTGGCCCCTAAATACTCCAGCCTGAAGGTCAAGTTCTATGTATACTTATAGTTCTTGTTTATGTTGTGAGAGGTGACATATACCATGAAATGCACACGTCTGAAGTGTGCCATCAGATGAGCTTTGGCCAATGCATGACCCTCAGCAACCCCCACCTTTATCAAGACACAGAATGTCCCCACTGCTCATACCCCTTCTTGCTCCACCACCACCTAGCACTGAGGCAGAAGCATCTGGTGTGTTCTGGAGAATCACCTGGTGTGTTCTAGTTCCTTTCACATAGCATGATGTGCTCAAGATTCCTGAGTTGAGAAGTGTCCATGATTCCTGTTGACAGCTGAATGATGCCCTACCCCATCAAGGGAACAGACCCAGTCAGCACGGGGGACACCGGGGTTGTTTCCAGTCTTCTGTTACAAGTAGAGCTGTAGTGAGCGTTGCCTATAGGCCTTTCAGCGGGCAGGCTGGTCACTTTTCTAGTAGGTTTGTTGGCTTGTTTTGCAAATGTGGAGTGTAACTCAGGTGGGTGCCTTCTGTGCTCCCCAGTCTCTGTCTGCTTATGCAAAGTGTTGTTCAAATCTCTTGTCCATTTTTAATTGGAGTGTCTGTCCTTTTAAGTTGTCGTCCTTTCACGTATTCTGGACACCAGCACTTTGCCAAAAGGTGCTCTGAAAATATTTCTTCCCAGTCTGTGGTTTGCCTGTTCCAGCTCATAACAACATCTTGTGATAGACATTTTAAACATTCATGAAGTCTAACCGATCCTTTACGGTAAATGGTCATTTTATTCTCTGTCGTGTTGAAGAAACCTCATGTTTTGACTGCAAATGAATTCTAGGAGAGCCAAAGTCCTTAGAGTCCAGCCTGAGTTTAAAGTGAGCACGCACGTGTGTTTGTGCACACACATAGGCATCTGAAGTCTGTGGATTTAAAGACTTATGGGGGAGTTCAGGTGCTCTGGGATCTGAGAGCCTCACCAATGTTTTACCTGTGCATTCAGAAGGCGAGAGTCCATAAGGCAGAAAACAACTCTCAAGGGACTGTGAACTGGAGGAAGATTCCAGAGGATGTGCAAGATGGGAAGATGCTGGAGATGCAGTCATCCAGAGCAGGGAAGCCTCCCTGAACTCCCCCAACTTTAGGCTGAGAACCCAGAAAGCCCACATGTGGGGAGAGGGGCAACTCCAGCCCTTGAGTAATGTCCACTCTCAGCCTGCCCTAACAAAGCCAAAATCAGTACCTGATGGAGTCAAGATGAACTGCTAGGAAAACCTCAACCCAGACTTAAAAGCCTGTGACATGTGGCACCCACAGTGTCCAACATACAATAAAACATTACTAGACATGTGAACAAAGAGGAAAATATGACTGTAACAAGGAAAAACAAAGTCAAGCGCACCGCATACGTGGGTATTTTTAACAGCTACAAGTATGTTCAAGGATTTAAAGACAAAAGTGGACAAAATGAACAAGCAGATGGAAAATCTCAAGACAGAAACAGAGAAATCAAATGAAAGTGAAAAATACTGTGTATGAAATTAAAAACTCACTGGATGGCCTCAACAATAGATTAAATGGGTGAACTTACAGCATGGCAATTAAAATCTATCTACACTGCAGCAAAGAGAAAAAAAATGAAAGAACACGGAAAAGAACTTGAGGAACTGTGGTACAGCATCAAACATTCCTAATGTGTAACTAGACTCTGAGAATGAGCAGACAGTAAACTGAGGCAGAAAAAACACTTGAATAATGGCCAAACTTTTTCCAAATTTAATTAAAAAGTATCAATATACAGATCCAAGAAGCCCAATAAATCCCAAGCAGGATAAACACAAAGAAAACCACACCTAAACAATGCAAAAATCAAAATCTGAAGCCAAAGAATATCTTCAAAACAGAGAAAAAGATACATTATATATAGGAGAACAATGCTCAACATTAGTCATCAAGAAAATGCAAATAAAATCCAGAGACACCACTTCACACCCACTAACAAGAAAAAGCCTGACAACCCCAAGTGTCGGTGAGGATGTGGGATACCCAGAACTCCCATACGCTGCCTACAGGAGATTAACCGCTTCGGAAAATGGTCTGGCAGTTTCTCTTAAGACATACCACCCCCATGGCCCAGTCTTTAACAAAAACACTCATACACAACAAGACTTGGAGAAAGATGCTCAAGGTAGCTTTATTCACAATAGCCAAAATCTGGGCACAACCGAATATCCCTGAGCAGGAAAACAGATCAACAAAATGGGGTACAGTCATACAAATGGACAGAGAAGAAAGAACTAGCTACTGACACACAGGACAACATAGATATTCTCAAAAACACATTGAGCAAAAGAAGCCAGGCAGAAAAGAGCACATACCTCAATTTTTAAATGTTTCAAGCCAAAAGCTGCTACGCCCCATGGCCCCCTACATATGCCCTCTTATCTGTCTGTGCAGACCTGGACTATTTAGGTTCCTGCTCCAAACACCCAAGAACAGGATCCATGATGCTGTCTGAGTCCCCAAAGCCATAGGGCCCTCTCCACCCCCGCAGGCTGCAGATCAGGACTAGGCCTATGGACATGTATGTGCAGACACACATGTACACTCTAATGGGGCAGCAGGGTAGCTCTGTCAGGGGAAGCTGAAGAGTTGGCTACCATGCTGCTCAGGTTCCTCTGTGCAGGCTGGGCTGGGCATGTGGGGCCCCATGCTCTGGGAAGGCGCTAGTCTCTCCCTCACCCTCACCCACCGCAGTCTTAGTTACTGATGTGACAGCCCAGTGCCTGCCCTGTATGCCCCTCCCACCAGCAGACAGTGTTGGGCCCCAGCCCCGACAGTAGTTGGGTTCAGAAACCCCAAACCTGGGGCCACCCACAGCTTCTGACGGCCAAATGCTAAACAGTGCACCAGCTTAGACACTGGTGGCTTCTATGTAGGCCCTCCCGTGTGTGGGCTCAGATCCCCCAACAGAGCTGTTCCTCAGACACACAGGTGAGGTCTGGAGTCTACCCCTCTGGCCCAACCTCCTCCTCAGGGAACAGAAACTCACACACACTTACCTGTGTCCTGGGCACAATAATCAGGGAGGCCAATTGCAAGTGACCATGAACCCATTGGGCAGCCTTCCCCCACCCCGTCCCCTGAAAGCAAATGAGTGGGGCTCACCTAGCCGGAGCTCCCCGAAGTTGCCACAGCCTATCTTCTTCCCGACCCGGAAGTTGGGGCCCACCATCAGGACCCCCGAACTGGTCCCCGTGCTCCGGACGCTGTGGCTGGTCCGGCCGCCGGCCTTGGACATTCTCCGGCCCTCCTCTGACTCCCCTTTCCCTCCTTTCTTGTCAAAATCCATAAGTTTGTGGTACCCTGGCCTCTCCACGGTGACTCTGCTGCTGTACAAATCCCGGGTCTGTGGAGACCTGAGGTCACGGGTGGCTCTTTGGGGCTAGAACACCATGGCGCCTGGCGGACTCCTGGCTAGTGAGACATGGGTGCTCGCAAGGGCCAGGCCGTGGCATTCATCTCGGTGGCCTCAAGGTCGCACGCAGAAGGAGGACACATTCTGCTGACAGGTCTGACAGCCTCAATTCTCACCTCAAATCTCGTGGTTCCCAGCTGGGGGGAAAACAGAGACACAGGTTAGAAGACTGATACCCACCCATCTGCCCATAATACAGCCCAGGGTCCAGAGCACAACCCAGCATGGTGGTGTTAACTGATGTGAGGGGCTGGCACAGCAGGATGGCATTCTGCAAAGACTTCTGAAGGCAGAAGTATGACCTGACTTTCTGAGGGGCAGAGGCCACTGTGAATTCCATGTGTCAAGGTGGTATAAGATGCGCATTGTTGTGTGCTGGCCCACAACACAACTTGAAGACAATTGCACTGGGAAGGGTGAAGGCCAGTCAAGTGACAGAGGCTCCAGAACCAGGCAGGGAGCCCCAACTTGGAAGTACCTTCCCCAAGCCAAGGGGTCGTTTCTCTGAAGAGAGAAGAAAACAGATCACAGAGCCCCCTCCCTGCCACTGACTGAGGACCTGGCCAGCTACTGATGTGAGTAGTAGTGACTTGGACATGGCGACACCATCAGGCCTTAGGGTCAACGACCCCAGAGGGATCTCAACCCATGATCTGGGGCTCCCTTACCCTGAGCCTGGAAGAGGGCCCTGAGGATGACAAAAGGGGACAAGAGTGAGAATCAGGCCAAGGACAGAGCCTGCTGTCAGCCCTTGGCTCTAGTTCTGGGAACAGCTGGCCCAAGCCTCAGAGCCAGAAGGGGCAGGCACCTCATAGAGGAGAATCCCAGCCACATGCTCACAGGGAGGTGGGGCCACAAGATAGCAGGGACCCAGAGGCGCAGTGAACACACACACCTTCCTGTGCTCTCACACACGTGTGCACAGTCCCTCATGTACTTACACTTACATGCATGCACACCCCTCCCCATGTTCACACGTGCACATCTCACACGTGTCCATGCCCTCCCATGCCTGGCAGTCCTTTCCAGAGGGGCCGTGCACATAACCAGGTATAAAGAGGTGCCTGACCTGCATGTAACCCTTGGGCCTGGGCAAAGCCAACATGGAGAAGGGACATGGCCCCATGAGCACAAAAGCTCCGTGTATGTGTGGACCCCACCTGGCCCCAGCCGGCTGCGTGGACACAACGCCAGCCAGGACTGAAGATTCCAGTGCACATGCTGCCTCACCTGGGTCCTCAACATTACACCAGTGACCCCTAATGCAGTGTGTCTGGGCCGCATGCAGCCGCCTTACAGAGGGCAGGTATGCAGACACCTGTACCTGCAGGGGACAGTGGGCATAGGGAGGCAGGTGAGGGGCCTGACCCCTCCCCAAGGACACCAGCCCCTGCTCACCACACAAACAAGAGTTGCCACCCCAGACCCAGCGGCAGAGACTCGCAAACGCTCTGGAAGGCGCCACACCACCACCCACCAGCCACACGGGGGCATTCTGGGTCCTCTCCTAGATGCTCTGAGTCATATGGGACCTGCAGGAGGATAGCAAGGGTGAGTCAAGCACCTGCTTATGGGAAGAAAGCCTGAGGCAAGGCTAGGACCAGAGCTAGATGCCCAGACCAGCATACCTGGGCAGAAGCAGGTGACCCAAAGCCTCAGGAGAATGGAGTGTCTGACCTCAGTTCAGACCCAGGAGTTAAAAGTAATTATCCTGGAGGAGCGGACCTCTCACTCCTCCTTCGGCCTCAACGGCACTAGCATGGCCCCCAATTTCACCCCCAGCCTCCCCACAGAGGGCAGGCCCTCCGGGGAGGGGGGGTTCCATGTGGACCCTCATCAATTCCACGCTGACATGATCCCCAGGCAGCCTCTGAAAGCTGCTGTCCTGCCTGTGTCCACACTAAGAGGGTCTCACAGAGAATGCTCCACATCAGGGCCATGCTTCTCCACCAATGCGCACCTCAGATGAGTTACCTGCCTTGTTCTTTTTGGGGTCCTCCATCTTGTCAGGGCCAGGGGCTGTCTCCCCTGCAGGGGCCCCAAGAACCCCCTTCTCTGACCATCTCCAGTCAGTGATGTCACAGTCCCTGGCTGACATCACTAGCACAGCCCCATCCTAGAGCCAGAGCAAGTCTGAGGAAGGTGCAGGGAGTCTCCCTCCCTGAAGGGTGGCCCCTCACAGGCTGCCTGGCCCCACAGTGCACGGTGGAAACCACTGTGAGTGTAGCATCGGAAGCACCCAGACTCAGGTGATCCTGGATACAACCCCTTCTAGTTAACTCTGGACATGTGCGAACCCCCACATCAGGAGCCCACCTCTGCCTGGGGATTCAGTAACTCGTAGAGGCAGGCCCCCCTCCCCAGGATTCACCTGGGACCAGAAGCGCGGAGCTCCAGGAGCCATGAGTACCCAGTGTGTCATGTCCTGGCATCTGCACACTACTACTGCACAGGGACCCAAACCAGGGAGACGTGCCCACTGTGGGGCCGCAGCTGAGAAGTCCCATGGCACCTGCAACATTGTGTCATGGCAGAGAGGAAGGAAGTGCCCCACAATGACTGTGCAGGAACCAGCTGCCCAGCCCATGGGGACGAGGTCAGTGTCAAAAAGGATTAAGCAGAAATGGGTCTTAACGCACCAAGTTATAGATGGAAAGGAGACAGCGGACCTGGGGGAAGTGCCTGGACATGGGACTGAGTGTGCCAAGCAGGTGGCCCGAAGCCGTGTATCAGTGATCTGGGGTGTGGGCTCCAGTCAGTGCCATCCCAGAGGGCGTGCAGAATTCCTGCCTGAAGTCCTGCCTGAAGTGACCAGGACCAGATAGAGGAAGGAGACAGGCCTGTGAGAAAGGACAGCTGTCACTGCACCCATCACAGAAAGGTGGACTACATGAGTCAATGCTCTTGGGAGAGGGACAAAGATCACAGGGCATGGTCACGAGGTGGCAGGATGCTCTCACATAGTTCAGGAAAGGCAAACACGGCCATGGTGACAGTGAGCCCATGAGAAGCAGAGAGTATCAGGTACTTTTCTTGCACGCTTTCAGCATACTTGACAAGTTTTCAAAATTAAGATTACAAAGAGGCAAGGTTGCTGCTACAAACTCTGTAACCTCAGACCACAGAAACCAAAGTCAAGCAACAGTCTGGGTAATAAAAGCAAGTCTTCCAGACAGCTGGTGACATGGGAGTGGCCTTGATGTGTAGCAGCTCTGGAACCGGTATTGACTGTAGGCACCGGCTGTGAGTAGTGACGATGGGTTTCAGAGAACCTGCTGCAGTGCTGCAGAGAACACGGGAGGGACCTGAGTTTGTTGGGCAAATGTTGGTAACTTGGACCCGGTCCAGGGCCCACGAGGGGGGGGGGGCACACGGCACTATACTCTCTCCACATCTGAGCGCATCTGAAAATTTCTGCCTAAAAAACTGAAAGGAAAACAAGGGGGCCTGAGGGAGAGCAGGGAACCCTGGCTCCTGCCCTGGGATATGAGGCTTGAAGACAGACACTGGTATTGCTGCTGAGAGATGGTGCACATGGGCTGGATAGAGCATGTCTGGAATATTCCATCATCTCAGAGTACACTCCTGACAGCACTAGCCTCTCCCCACAGACACCTGGTCAAGCCCTTATTCACACCTTGCACTGCGCTGTCAAGGGGGCAGGGTTGTCCCACTCCATTTGATGGTACCTGCAGGACCCTCGTCCTGGTCAGGCTAGGCCCACCCTGGGCACTTCTGCTACCCTGTGTAACTACAGTTCCAGCACTGTATCAGTCCTTGATGTAGGCTGTGTCCCCAACAGGATAGGTCCTAACCCCTGGTGTCTGGGCATGTGACCTTATTTACAAATTAGGGTGGGTCCTTATCTGTGACTGGTGTCCTTATGAGAAGGAAATAGAGACACACCGAAAAGGAAGGCCATGTGACAATGGAGGCAGAGATGTGACCACAAGCCAAGAAACTCTGGCAACCACTGGAAGCTGGAATAGGCAGAAGGATCCCCCTCCCCTGGAGCCTTAGGAGGGAGTGCAGTCCTATGACACTTTGATTTCAGACTTCTGGCCTCAAAGAACTCAGTGAAGATGCCTGACCAGCACCCCAGCAGGGAGATAAGTGTCAGTGTCAGCAGTGAGGAGCCATGGGGAAAGCAGAGACCCTGAGGTGGCAGATGAGTAGGGCATGCCCTTCAATGCAATGAAAAAAAACACACCAGAAAACCCAGACTGGGGACATCCTGCAGGACATGATGGTGAAGGCATCCACACAGGAAAGAGGGGAAACTGATTGTCACATGGGATCCTAATGGGGTCCTGGAACAGAGAAAGGCCATCAGGGGAAAATGAGGAAATCTGAGTAAATATGGATTTTAGTTATCAATGATGTCTCAGTCCTGGCTCATCAACTGTGACTAAGGCACCACACTGACAGAAGGTGTGACCAGGGGTACTGGGTATGGGGACATGGCAATTGGCATTAGCTTCACAGTAATTCTGTAAATCTAAAACTGTTCTAAAATAAGGTTTACTTTTAAAAACCCAAACCTTGGCCCTGGCCGGGTGACTCAGTTGGTTGGAGCATTGTCCCATACACCAAAAGGTTACAGGTTCAATTCCCAGTCAGGGCACATGCCTAGGTTGTGGGTTCAATCCCTAGTTGGGGTGCATATGGGAGGCAACCAGTTGATGTTTCTTTCTCTAAAAATCAATAAAAACATATCCTAGGGTGAGGATTAACAACAACAAAATTCAAACCTCCATCTCCTCTGGCAGCTTCTTCCTGCCCCTCCCTCAAGCACATGTGTGGTGCCCACTCATGGTCTCTACTCAGATGTCACCAGTGAAGCCACCCTCCCCAAGCCCACAACATACCCCACCCCTGAACTCCTCTGCCATGGGGCAGTACGTATGTGGTCACTGTGTACCTGCCCCCTAACCATAAGCTCCTCAAAGACACAGAGGTCTTTTGTGCAGGCACCACACAGGAACTCAGGACACTGGCAAACAAATGATATGAAACAGACCAACATATCTGAGAGAAAGTCGGCAAAACCACAGAGGAGGTATAGGAGGCCTCACAGATGCACACTGCTCTGCCTCTCTAGTACAACATGCAGATTAAAGTAACAGAGACATGCCCAGATGGGCACGGCTCTGCGGTTGAGCATCGTCGACCCATGAACCAGGAGGTCAGGGTTCAATTCCTGGTTAGGGCACATGTCCGGGTTGTGGGCTCGATCGGGGCATGCAGGAGGCAGCCGATCAATGATTCTCA